AGTCATGGTGGAGCCCAGATATATGGCAGGGTAAAGAGGTGACTGTTCAGTAGCTTTTATCCCCACAGTCAGGACTAAGCCTCCAGTGTGCCTTAGTGGGAAGGGACAAGAGGATTCTTAGCAAGAGTGCCTGCTGGTCCTAAATTCCTAATGTGAATTCACCATCTTCCATTGACTTTGTGAATTTAATGGTAAATCATACATGTTAAAATTACTCAGACCTTGAACACCATACTTGTAGTTCAAATAGCTGCCCTATGTCTGAGAGGAAGAGGGAGAGGGGAAAGGAGAGGGAGAGAGAGAGGAAAAGAGAAAGAGGAGGGAGAGAGAAGGAGAGAGAGAATGTTGAAGGATTATGCAGCCTCAGAAACAGTATGGTCATCTTCTATGCAAAATATTTTCATGAGCCTCATATCTCTGAAAAAACATAGATACACAAGGCTCTACTTTTGTTTGCAAAGGGAATATTACATTTATTCTGACAAAACTGCTTCAAGCACTTGCCAAGAAGAATAAATTATAGTAGGAATGGGTAATAATTATTAGGACTTATTTTTGGAATAAGAAATCTCCTTAAAAGGACTATGTGCTGCCCGCTGGAAGAACGGAGAATTTTCCCCAAAGTAAAAAATATGCTTTTAACAGTTCAAGTGTATGATATGGGGGTTAAATTAGGGTTCACATGTGTCCCAGAAAGCCAGATTTAACTTCCTTTTACCCATGGGTTATAAGGAACACTTTGAAAGTAAATTTGAATTCTTTAAACAGCATAACTAGTTTGAAGAGTCTTTCTTTCTGTTTTTGAAGCAGAGTTTGATGGGCTTGAAGCATTCAAATTTTTCTATAAGTCATGTGGCAGATCTCAGATATTCAGGAGGAACTAATTGAGAGAGTTGACTAAATTAAAACTTTTTTAAACAGGTTAAGCATCTTCCAGTAAAGCATTCTGCAGAGCTCTGGGAGAATTAGCAGTGTTATGTTGGAACAAAATTATTTATTTTGGCTTCCATCTTTTTGTGAATTTCCTATCTAGAGAAGATAGAATTAAAGATGAGAATGCTTTGTGACTCTAATTATAATAACTTTAATATTTGGTTCTAATTTTAAGACTGTTTTCAGAGAGTTGATATAGAAGAAAACTCAGAATATTAATTTCAGAGGAACTGATTACATAGAAACCAATCTAAGAAGAACTCAGTCAAAAAGGTGACGAACCGTAGAGATCGACGTTCTCGACTTGCTTTTGGTTTTCTCTAGTACTAATGCAGAACTTGGACTCTTTGTTTATGTAATTCCAGGAAGGGGTTATTTAAAAATTAGTTGTTTGTTTTGGAAAGTACAAGTAAACAGGGAGCAAAACACATATCAGTGAACAAAAATGCAGCATTGTTCTTTTGTGCTGTACAGCGCTCACCCAGGGCTATGTTTTGATGGCAGGCTGCTTGAGATGCCTTTGCAATGTTTAAGTTAACCCGAATATAGCTTTTCATATTACCTGTTGTGAGGTAGCTATTCCAAAAGAAAAGAAAAGAAAAGAAAGGAAAAGAGAAATGAAAATCTAGGATTTCCTTTTCTTTCTTCATATATGATCCAGAACGGCAGTGTTGGATTAAGGCTGTTTTCACTTAAACCTCAATCAAATTGGTCATTTTCCTGAGCTGACTGGTATGTTGGTAGAAATGGGTTTCCGCAGGTGTGCCCAGGTCATTGCCCAAGCTGTGATGCCATCGATACTTCTGATCCTCTCTCTGGGAGTAGCGGCTTACTCACACAAAAATTGAAAATTGAGAATAATGGCATAAGTGCAGACATAGAAGCTATCCCATCTTCGAGTGGTTTATTATTAAATTTAATGGCTCAGTCTTTTTTGTTTGTGCAGATTTTAATTACTAAGTAGGCCTGGTAAAATATGAATTATTGCATTATCACAAGTGATAAAATGTGTACGGTTATGAGCATTGCAGTCTGCAGGTGTAACATACATAAAGCAAGATTAATAGTATCATGCAATTAAACTGAAGCTATCTTTAAGGGGAAAAAGAAAGGTTTAATGCTACCCTTAAGTGTAACTTTAAACTCTCACTAAATATTTTTGACTGCAATAAAAGCATGTTAATTGTACGTCTGACTTCTTTATAAGACCTCATTTCTTAGAGTAAGTTTTCCTTTCTAAGAATGCAAAAGCTTACTAAAATAATTCCTATTAGTAACTCATTTCATCCAGAGTTGAATTTTTCCTTGACTTTCATACTCAATGAAGAAAGCTCAAAATAACACAGAAAATTTTTTGTGTTGTGAATATATGTATGAACTAAATCCAATTGAGATAAAAGTGATTAAATTATAATAAGGCCATTATTGGTCTCAAGGCATTGTATTAGTTGTAAGGTTCTTAAATATTTTGAGAATTTGGCCTTAATTTTCCTGTAGCCACATATAAAATAAACAAAACAATTTTACTTTCATATCCTTGCATGTACAACTTATTAACAGTCTTACATAAAAGTAACATGCAAGACATCTAATAAATTTTTTCTTACATGTTTCTGAGTTTTGTGGTTTTTTTTTTTTTGCACATCTTAAATTATTTTTACACCAAGATTAGCAAGATCAATACCTATAGTGTTTTCAACTAGCTGTGACTTTGCTTCTCAATAGCATAATAGGCAGCTTTAGTGTGAGTTTAACAAGACCTTTACAAAGAACGTCCCAGGTGTCCCCTTCCTCCTCGTGTACAGAATTTGGTCATTGCCCTGGAATTATTTGCCAGTGTATTTGGCAGAGTAAAACTTCAAGAATGACACAGAGTAAACATTCCTAATGTAGCGTAAGATAGATTACATTTTAAATAGAATATATGAAAGTACTGAGAACTTACATTCTGTATAGTTTTACAGTTATTAAATATGTGAACAATTTGATACATAAAACAAAAAATACATTTTATTCAGTGTAGATTCCTAGGTGTTTGCACGCCTCCTGACAGTGCTGCAGTGGAAATTACTGCATATTTATCTGCCTGGTCATTTCAGGATCTAAGCTCCCACAGCTTTAATCAGTAAGAATGTTGCAATGGAAGGTTGAGCAATAACAGCATTTTGTTGTAGAAATAATATAAATACATACAATATATGTAATATGTATTATATATAAATTATTTCTTTTTTTGCTCTTGAAGCATTATTTATGATGAAACCAAAGATGTGATTGCCCATAAGAAAATGGCAGACATCTGAGCTGTAACATAAGGAGAAAGATAGTGATGTGTGTCATCGTGATACTCCCTTCATCCGCTCTATTCATTGATGAACTTTTTTCAGTTGTGTCAGTTGAGTGACTATGAGTAACCACATTCTAAGCATTTTAATCATGTAAAAATCCAGAGACTTGTGTCAGTTAAACACCTCTGAACACGTGCCTCACGTGCTATAATCTGTGTCCTTTTTCACTTTATCTGTCCCTAGTTCTCCTGATACTCCCTTCCAAATCCATTCATTATTTGTAATTAAGAAGAGCAGTCTATTAAATGTAGCAATTTTTTTTGTTCTTACAATGATAAGAACAAAAACATTTATGATTTGAAAAAAGTACAAGAGTGTGAGAAAGTAATTTTTTCCCTCAACCACATCACGGGCATATTAGACCACCCCCCCCCCCCCCAAAATGTGTTTTGTGTAAGTCCCAGTTCATTTCAGCCATGGATTAAAACTCCAGATAAAAATTGTGAAAGGTGTTATAACATTTTAGGAGGTAAATGTTTCCTATGCATGTACATTTTTTTTCCTGAAAAATTGAGTAATTTATATACTTGAAAATATCTGACTATTCTGTTGATTCATTTGACAACCTGAATAAAAGAACATTAAGTATCAATCACATGGTCCCTGATAAACTGTGATCCGTATGCGGGTGAGTATACATGATCTTGTCACAGTTTGATTCCTCCTTAAATATGATACTCCCTCAGGAATGTATTTGAAAAATTTTTTTGCCTCACTTTAACCCCACAGATGGTTATACTTGACTTCAAACTTCACAAAAGAGTAATATCTCTTAACTAATGTTTAAAGAATTTCTTCTATTTTGAACATTTAATGATACTTAAAATTTTGAATTATTCTTTGCTATATGCCAGAATCACATAAAATAAGTTCCAGAAAATAGACGTGCTTGTGTAAGAAATTTATAACCATGTAACATAAAATTAGAAGTAAATGGATAAAATATATCAAACTGAATTATTTTTATTTTCTGATAAGAATTAAGTGAAAAAATAGTTTGGTTAGCATTTTTCAAAGTCCGAAGTGTCTCTATTCATGCTATACAATTATATACAGATGTTGCTTAGTATTCTTATTAGCTGCTCATGTCTGTCTGTGGCATATTCATTTTCTTGGCCGAAGGAGTGACTGTGAAAAGCACCCCTACACAGATAGCCTCGTTGACTAGGTAGATCTCTTCTAAAACTAAAAGATCAAGTACTACTCTATGTTCCACTTAAAATAACTGTCTACATTTGACCAAAAAAATACAGCCACAGGAGTACTGATTATTTTCTACATTTTGTTTTTAAATTAATATTTTAGATAGAAGAAAAATATAAATATACAGTTTTCTTAGTTTGATTAGTTTGATTATAATTTGCAATATAAACATTTACAAAAGATTAGGTAACAATAATAGCAATCAGAAAAGATCATGAAATTTTGGAAATTTTTAACTCATAATCTTACATATGAGGCAACTGTCAAACCATTATGCATTCATATTCTCATTACCTTTTGAGGATTTGTGATTTCAGTTAAATAGGAAATATTTCTCCTGTTTTCAAGAATAGCCATAGTACTTGTATTTTATACATGTAAATTCAATACTGTGGCCTAGTTATAGAATTATAAAATTCACCTGAAAGCTTAAAATTTAGATTTCACTGTATTATATTTTGATATATAATATTTTCTCAAAACAAATGTTACTATATTATATTTCTGGTATATAATATTTGCTCACTGTACTCAGTTAATAAATTATAATTTTTTTCCACAGTTAAGTTAGAAAATGATTACTGCATATTACCCTCAAAAGTACCGTTTGAATGTTTTGTTTCTCTCCAGACGGTGGGTACGGCTGTTGTTTGGGCGAGAGTTCCCCCTGCAGGATCTTCTAGTGGTCTGGGATGCCTTGTTTGCAGATGGTCTCAGCCTGAGTTTAGTCGATTACATCTTCATAGCCATGTTACTCTACATCCGAGATGCTTGTAAGTGTTACTGACCTTGCCCTACATTCAGATAGTAGTCCTGATATTTTACAATGTTTTACCTTTTATGTATACTTGATATTTTAGAATATCTGATTTGCATATACCTAAATTTTTATGGTAGGTATTATATTGAAATTTCAAAGGAATATACTAAGCATCATTTTGTTGGTTAACCACGGACATATTGGGAGATGCGGGTGATATTATCCTGAGAGAATTGGAATATTCTTCAGAATCATTTTTCTAAAGACTTTACTCCTGCCTTAATCTCCTCATTACACATACTTGTGAAATGCATTTATAAAAGCCAGTATCTCAGATATGTTTAGAGCTCCACCTTCTGACAGGTAAGGAGTATTCAGGAGATTGTATCTGTGTTTATAGGATTGAGACCTTGCCAATTAAAAAAAAAAAAAACATTTAAATGTATTTAACTTCTTCCTGGTCATGTTTTAGAAAAATGTACTTTTCAATACAACACCTAATGGTAGATGTGCTTTTATCTCCTTAGATCTACCTTCTGGTGTTTGCAATACCCAGTGAGCCAGTGCCTATCCCTTTTGAATGGTCTGATAATCCTCAGATTGAAGAAAATATCAAAGCATGTTTTAAATTTCAAAATACCTCAAGTTACTTTCCTTCCCAGAGAAATAATCACAGTTCACAAAACAAGATTTAAAAGCCAAATTATAATTAGGGAAAGATTACACGAAGTGATATGATTGAATTAAGGGGAAGCAAACGGTCCCAAGGAGCAGGACTTTGTCAGAAGAACGTATAGTGTGTGGAGTCATTCGGAATCGTCATTGTGAAGCTGCTCTGTGAGTCTCCTTATTTGTTCACTGAGTACCAGTTGTGCCAGATGCTCTCGCTATGCCTCTGGTAACACGAATATTCTTTACAATTTTAGATTCGACTTTTTAAATTCCCCCAATATGATTTAGAATAAATAAGTGACAGGGGTACTACATTTTATCCAAAAATTGTAGGTTTTTATTCATGCCTTGAAGGTCAAATAGTTAAGATTTTGACAGACAAAGTATAAGTTCCATCTTTCTGAGCCAGAGCTAATCATGGAAGATCATGGAAATTATCAGAGGAAACATCTGGAAAGTAAAAAAGGATGTTTGAGTAGGTTTGATGGATACTGAATCTTAGAATATTCAATACTAATCTCCTTTTTAAGGTTATAAGTTATTTTAAAAAATGTAAATAATAAGAAACAAGAGGAATGTGAAACCTCTTTTAGAAAAAGTGCTTTTTTATTATATTTTCACAAAGCTTTCAAAATCAAATAGCTTTTGAAATATGTTCTGATTTTCTATGTTAAACAATTAAATTTCCTCTTGTCATAACTTTATGCATCACCCCTATATATTTGGCTTAATCATCCTGTCTCCTATGCTAAGAGATACTCTTAATTTTATAAAACATGGCACATTTTTGGTGGCTGAAGCCCTTGTACATTTTAAATCTTTTCACTGATGACTTATAAAATATGTGGGCACCTGTAGAAAAATGTAGTGGATGAGATTTCCGAAAAATTGTGTTAATATGTGTTGAGTATACTAGGGGCAGGTACCTGTCTTCAGGAGGCTTACCAGCTACCAAGGAACTCTGCCATAATTCGCACTAAGGACCCTGTGGTTGAGGCAGGCACAGATAGTATGAAAACTCAGGGTGAGACACTGAGTCCTGCTGGGCCAGCATGAAAGAGCAGAGAAAAACAGTTCATGTGGGCACACCAGACCAGGGCGTTCCGTGTCCCACCAGAGAAACACCGTGGACAAAGGCCTGAAAGTATGAGGTAGCCTCCTCCAGGCAAATACAGGTGTCAGTTTCTATCTATGAGTTAGCTTGTGTCCTTAGAATACGAGGGAGAGAGAGAATGCAGGTTATGAAACTGAAGAAGCAAATAGAAGGGATCATGATAAAAGTCCTGTGAGCAATGGGGAGCCATTAAAGGATTCACAGCAGAAGTGTGATCACTTTGCGAGGAAAATGAACTTGACGGAGACAAGACTAGGGTAAGAAAACCAGATAAGAAGTTATGACAGTTGTCAAGGGGAGGAACAGTGGGTCAGAGAAATATTCAGAGCCAAAGTCAGCATGACAGTGATTAAGTCTGGTAGGCGAGAGAATGAGAAATCCTCACATTTCCTATCTTGGAAGCTTGAGTGGGTAATATTTACAACTTAAGCAAGAAACGGAAGAAGTGTAAGTGCTAGAGTTTTGACCATGCTGAATTTAGGTACTTGTAAAAAATCATAACCTGAAAATCTAGCAAATAAAGGATTGAGGCTACAGATTTAATTTTGTAAATGATCATCAGATAGATGTTAGCTAAAACCGTTAACAGTGAATGTGAATTCTTAAGATTAAGGTTTCATATATATCCTAGTTTGGGATAATTTTGGTTTACATCTGCTTTCCTGGAGTAGTAACGATTAACCCTATTTCTCTCTCAAAGTGCATCCCATTAGGATGGTAATAAGTATATTTCACCCTCCCTAAAGTGGGTACAATACAGAGAACATGGACAGAGGTAGAATCTGGTGTTTAATGTCAGCATTTAAAAGGCACTGAAGGAGAAGGGCTGGTTTATGTGGCAGCCACTAAAGCTGCCACTTGGGACACTCACATCTCGTATTAGAATGCCGATTCATGCCCCAGCTACTCCGCGCTTCTGATCCAGCTTCCTGCTAATCTGCCTGCGAGACGTGCGTGATGACTCAAGTACTCGGGAGACCCAGGCGGAGTTCCTGGCATAGCCTCAGAGAGCTGTGATGTCTGAGGGCAAAGAGGGAGAAGAGACACGGGAATGTCAGGCAGGAAAGGCTTGCTCAGGTTTGGCCCTGAAAAAGGGACAGTCATTGGCTAACTTTTCCAGAGCGGGCCTGGTGGAGTGAAAGAGCAGAAACGGGGTTAGGGTGGGTTGACAGGCAATTAAGAAATACAGTGGCCTTTTCTTCAGCTTTCTGGTTTTTCTGTCTTTTTTTTATGTATACATAAAAACAACTTTTTTTCCAACTAAAAAGATAACTAGATAGAAAAAGATATGGAGATGGCACATACAAAGCAGTGTTTGAAGAAGGCCAGTGAAGTAGAGAAGGCGGAAGTTGCAGCTGGGGGCAATTCAGGGCAGAGAAGCTCGGTTGGCTGTCTCTGGAACGAGACCAGGGCAGTCAGAGGCAGGGAGAACTCACGGGGAGATTCGCTTCTGGAACCAGTCCAAGGCCCTCCCTCACCATTCATCACTAGGGGGCTGGCATTGTGGCGTAGCAGAATAAGCCGCCACCTGCAACACCAGCATTCCGTTTGAGCCCCAGTTCAAGTCCCTGCTAATGTGCCTGATAGGACAGCGAAGACCCCTGAGCGCTTGGGTCTCTGCACCCATGTGGGAGACCTGGAGGAAGCTCCTGGCTCCTGGCTTCAGCCTGGCCCAGCCCTGGCCATTGTGGTCATATGAAGAGTGAACCAGACAATGGAACTCTTCTCTCTCTCTCTCCCTCCCTCTCTCTCTGTAACTTTGCCTTTCAGATGAATAAAACGAATCTTTTTTTTAAAAAAAAAAAAAAGATTCATCGCAAGTTTTCCCTTTCTATTCCATGGATGAGATCTATGAAAAGAAAAATTATCTTGATTATATTGATGTTCTTATTTGTTTTTCATCTTTTTAAATATTTTATTGATTTATTTGAGAGGTGGAGCTACAGAGAGAGTTCTTTCATCTGCTGATTCACTCCCCAAATGCCATAACAGCCAGGAACCAGGAGCTTCTTCTGGGTTTCCCACTTGGGTGCAGGGGTCCAGGCACTTGGGCCATCTTCCACTGCATTCCAGGCTGTTAGCAGAGAGCTGCATCAGAAGAGGAACAGCCAGACACGAACCAAAAGCCATATGGGATGCCGGCGCTGCAGGCGGAGGCTTAGTCCACTATGCCACAGCACTGGCCCCTGTCGTCTATTCTTCATACCCATCTGTCCCCACTCTCCCTTCCCCAGTGAGAGACAGTGTTGTGTCTGTTTTGGTTTCCCTACGACATCCCAGCATTTAGAACAGGACCTAGTGCATAGCAAACCTCCACACAGATAATTTTTGAGTAAGGTGATAGTGGAACAAAGGTCAGGGTCAGGAGTTTGGCGGGAGACTGGCTGCAGACCAAGAATGAAAAACTAGTGCTGATCTGGGAAAGAGGCACCAGGTTGCTATCAGGGGCAGAGCAGTTTATAGGTGAAGACAGAAAGTGGAGGAATTCTACGTCTAAGGAGAAAGCAAGGGTATCTGCTGTATGTGAGGCAGAGCAGAGTGCTGGGTTTGGCAGGAGTGACCTAAAGATGGGATGTACCTGGCTGAGCAAGAACCACGATGTGCCTGAGTGTCAAAGACTACAGGGATGAGCGTGAGCAGAAGCACCGACCTCAAGGCCACGGTTTCTCCTGTCTGCACTCGGCATCTGCGTGAGATGCGAAGGAGGTGGATCGTGCTTCAGGCTTCAAGTTAGTTCCACTGCCAAATGAATGAGGCAGAACTTAGGAAAGATGGGTTGAGTGTATTTTGAGACAGTGGCTTAGGGTGTATGAGGAGCTAAACACAGCCAGGAGTAGGCTTAGGAGAAAGCAGATTCACCGGGGGTAGAGGCAGGGCATGAGAGAGCCGTAATTATAAAAAGTGTCATTAACAAGAGGACAGAGGAGTTTTAGGTGGTTCTCCATGGACACTTCACCGAGAATCATGATAGCAGATATTTAGAAAGACATGAAGTAGCAAATGCAGAAGAGTGACCAAAAAAGCAACTGTTATTCAACCATTTATTCCAAGAGTAAGCCACTCAACCAGTATTTACTGAGTTCCTACTGTTCGCCAGCCATCATGGTACGTCGGATGACAGTGATGGGAGTGACAGTGATGGGGAGGTATAGATCTTGAGGAGGAGAGTTGGCAGAGCACATGGGAGGGCAGTGTAGGCCCTGTCCAGAGCTAGGAGGACGCTGAGT